GCAAGGGTTCGTCACGCTAAACGGCGGTTCACGGACAGAGCTATCCAACATAACTATAACCTGCACCCTGCTCAAGTGCTCACCTTGATGCAACCAATAGTGCAAAAACATATATGGATCGCTTAATCATTTTTTGTCGGAATTTAAATGCCAAAACGGCATTGTCTACCAACATTTCAAAGTTAAGGCTCAGTTTTAAACTAACAGCTACTACCACTTTTACCATAATTTTTGGGATGCCCAAACATTATTAATTTCACCCAACAAATATTTCACTCATTAGCCCGCCCTACATACTAACACATCAAAGCGGGATACGTAAGCACCCTTTAGCTATTTTGGCCAAAATACTCTACCAAAAATGGCATCCGCAACATAAGTTCATTGCCCCGCCAATTGAACGAAATGTTCTAGTTTGAATCACGAATTCGATTTCGAAGCTCCCAAGAACACTAGCCAACCGCACTATTCTTCGAAATTCAAAATTACATATCTATCTACATAACTTGCTCTCAAATTCTATCGAAGCTCTACACTCTAGTTGTATTTGGTTGTTGTTATAGAAATTGTTTTCATACCAAAACAATTAAAACAACTTTCCCATTTTTCTTATTAGGATCTCGTTAGCATGTTTTCACATAAACTACTAACTCACCATATCCATTTGATTTCCCCTTCTCAAAGGATGAGACATACAAGCTAGCTATCATTACATGTGGGTTTTAAATTTTTTAAGACCTAAAAACTTGTTTGGCTAATTTCTCTTAGGCATTAACCTAGGTGCTAAGCAAGCTCATAACACAAGAGGTGTTACACCATTCCACTCCTATCACGGGGTCCAGGTCCCCGTCCAAACTTAGACTCTAAGCCCCCACACTTGAAATCCTATCTCAGTATGGTACTTAGACCTTCACCTTTCCCCGTCTCCAATCAGTCGGTTCGAAAAGAGCCGGAACCCACGACAAGAGCGCAATGAGCCTTCTCGCTCTCATAAGCAAGTATGTGCTCAGGATAATAAGTTTGTGACCTGACTACCATCCACAGCAACGGATGGTCCTTAATCGACATGAACGTGGAAAATAGTGTAACCAAGCTAAGCTCCGTTGGCCACGGGACACAACCTGTTACACGCATCAATATCCATACCATATCCTTGTCCTATCTCCATTTTTCCTTTCATCATTTTATCATGAGAGTAATTATAATAATCACCTATTGTGAGTAACGACAGGTTAGTCACGCTACCGAAAACCTAAGCATAGCAACTACTCGAACATGTACTAGTAGAACTCATATGACACTTATATCTATGCATATGGTTTTCATCAAATCAAATAACGTAAATGCACATCACATAAATATATTCAGTGATTATAAAAAATAAGGGTTATGCACCGGGGCTTGCCTTGGGTAGGCACGGTGTCAGCTGAGTCAATCAGTGGCGGCCCTAGGACCTCCTCCTACACGAGAATCTCCTTCTCGTACTCCTCGACGATCTCCTCGAACTCGTGATCACCGATGGTCATGATCTCTGCCAACTCGTTCTCTACATGCATGCGATGATGAAGCAACACTTAGTATTTATGCAACATCAACTCTTCAAATAAGAATACGCATACTAAGCTACTAAGCTAGCTCTAATGACTAAGATACTAAGCTAACTATCATCTTTACCAAGCAAAGTGTTGGGTTCAACTAACAAACACCTAGCTTTACAAATGAAGGATATATATTTGATTTAATGTATATTGAAACAAAGAGCATTTAACTACCCTAATGTTTAGTCTATTCTAAATCTACAAAAATTACAGTGAGCACATAATAATACCACAATACTGCTATAAAATTTTTAGGGCTAAAGCTATCACTAATTTACTGCAAAAATTCCTACAATAATTAACTTAATAATATTGAGCATTCTCAAATAATTTAATAGCTCCTAGTATCAACATGTATATATATGAACTAAATACACTAACAGATAGAGCACAATTTTAGGAACCTAACAAAATTTGTTTCACAATTTTTGGACACCTACATGATTTTATATGATTTACCAAAGATTAGCTCTAAATTAAATTAGAAAACTATTTCTAATTCTTTATGAAAAAGAAAAACAAATTCTCCCGCGCGGCTCACACGCGTGGCCCATGTGACACAGCGCGCATGGCCCTTGCGGAGACGACCTGCGTCGGGGAATCCCGCACGTGTCGATGACTTTGCAAAAGAGACCTCGAACTCCTTCCAATTTATAATTAAATACTAACACTATTTTCTTCCCTCTCAGAACTTCTCACTTAACCCTCTAGCCTTTCCCTAATTCACCCACGCGCACCCCTAGTAACTCAGTGCATGGCGACACGGTGAGCGGTGGCACTAAGCGCCTACGCCAACCACCTAGGACCTGCGTGGGCCCACCTAACGGGTCGATCACCATCTCTGACCCTAGCGGCTACGCTAAGCGGCGGTGCAGGATGACACGACTGGCCGAGGAAGGCTGCAGCGACGCGCGGTTATCCACGACGGTGGCGGCACTATTCTAGTGAGCTGGGGTGGCTACAGTTCTAATTGGTTAGCGTGTGAGCATTAGGAGGCTACCCTAGACCAGGCCGAGGTGACAATTGGGGCGGAGGATGACGGAGGAGGGTTGGCCACGTGTGGCCGAGCTGTGCGGCGGCGCACCGTGGCGGCACGGTCGCGTCAGCGACAACGGGGAGGCGATAGTGGTTCCTCTGATGTGCGCAAGGTGGAGAGGGAGACGAGGCAAAGCTAGTGGTACAAGTGAATTGGCTTCGGGAGAGCCGGTAGGAGGGCTGCCCACATCCACGGCCGGACGTGGCCTTATCGGCACGACGGCCGGGAAACTCTAAGATTGGAGCTTGGCCGTGCGCGCTTCAAGGCTAGGTAGGGTCGGGCAGTGAGGGACATGATGATGAAGCTGTGGATGCGCCGAATTGAATAGAGGTGATCGTTCGCAGGGTAATTTAATGACGCGGTTCGACGATGGCAACAGAGGGAGAAAGACAGAAAGAGAGAGACGGGGCACAGCAGGTGGGCTCGGCTCGTCCTCGCCTTGGCGAGACACGGTCGACGTGATCATGGAGGCCCACGCGCTGGCGCTAGCAGACTGACGCGCGCGTTCGCGACCGGCGTGGCCCGCGCGCCACAGTGCCATTAATGACAAGGCGACGGCAAGCCCGACCATGTACGCGTGCAGAGAAGCAGCAACACACTGGGCCGGCAACAGCGCAGAGATGTAGAGGGAGGCACGGACATGACGGTGAGGGGATGGCATCGGCAGCGGCTGCGGCGCGGGGCGAGTAGCGTGGTGGGGTCGGCGGCAGCATCGCCCAGCTGCGCAAGCAACAGCAGCGGCTCCACGCGCCAGGAGCTGGCGGTGGCTAGGCCAGAGCAGCCGTGGCCGGCCACGCATGGCAGTGCACGTGCGAGCGGAGCAATCAGCGTGGCGACGCCGAATGCCCGAACGTGGTGATCGCGCCCACGTGGCCAACTAGCCCGAAACCATGTCGTGCAAGAACTTTAAAGCGCCCATAAAAACTAAACGGTTGCTTCTAGACCTAAACCATCTTCACCATGCTCAAGATGGCATATGAGACTACCAAATTGAGCTATAACACCGCACCACCCTTTAACCTAATCTCTCAAAATAATTTGCTAAACATAGCAATATCTAGCTGTTGATAACTTAGAAATTTTTTTAAGTTTTGAGCAGAATTTGATTTCAATTTGCGATTTCTAAGCTAGTGGAAATATTAGCTAGTAATATCATTTTTCGACAGCAAATATTTCACTGTCATCTACAAAGTTTGTACTTCAAACTTTATTTAAGTATCACACACATGTTCTATAGTATTTTTGCTTAATAAAAATTGGTTTTAAAACCTACTTGATATACCTGAACTATTGAATTAATTTTTGTTTAACATTTTTATTGATCATTTTAAGTTATAAGAAATTTATCTACACATTATATCACATGCATTAACACATAAACATGATGCTCATGACATGTTTTAGTAATTGATTTAAGGTGTAACACCAAGGGTGTTACACTTGTCCCTTTCCTCCCTCTCCGGTCCCCATCCATCTTCTCCTTCCCCTCTTTTTGTTTCCCCTCAAGCGAGCAGGCTCCCGCGCTCACGCCATCCTTTTCCATACCGGAGCCTGAGGCCCCATCCTCCTCCCCTATGCACTCCCCCTCGCCTTCCTCCACTCCGACAACAGGCGCACGTTGGCCTCTGCCCCTCCACCGGCGCTTCCAGCAGCGCCCTCCACTCCGGCAACCGGCGCCGTCAACCTCCGCCCCCCACTGGCGCTTTCAGCCTAGCTCCATGACGTGCTTGTCGTCCTTGGCTTGGCGATGGCCAGATCCGCGCGTGAGCCGAGCTCGCCGCCTTCGGCCCGATGGCAACTGGATCCATCTCGCAGTCATAGCCCACCAATGGCAGTCGTCCGTCGGAGCGCGGCGCAGGTCCATCGCGTGGCGTCGGCGAGCTCGAGATCAAGGCCTCACGCAGCCCATGTAGGCGGGCAACGATGGGAAGGGTGGGCGCCGGCCCGTGCAGGCGAACAGCGGTGGAAGGAGGAAGAAGAAAGGTAACAGGGGATGACGAGTGGGCCCTTTAGGGCAGTGAGCGGGGAGAAAAAAAATGACAAGGGTATTTTAGGCCATACGAAAATACGGTGTCCTGCATGTGTGGTACTAGCGTGGTTCGGACGCAGAAAATGGCACCGGTGAGGTAGAGACAAAATTGTAATGATAAATTTTCAAATAGACCAATAGTAATGACATATCCAAAAACACAAAAATTATAATGGCATAGATCAAATAACTCAATAATATAAGTGCCTAAATAGGGGTGGCAACACTGACATTAACACTCGAATTGCAATGTCCTCGCTTCATCATATCATCATAGTTGTTCATGAGTTGAAGCAGTATTGACAACGAGCCACCACCATTCACCAGATGGTGATGATCAGTATATAGTCTGGATGACGGGAACGTGCTTGACCTTGTGGTAATCCTGGCCTTCGCCCTCCTTGATCCTGCCCACGATGTCGGGCATGCTGTACAGCACCACCTCCTTCAGCTCCGTCATCCCGGCGAGAGCCTCCGGGAGCATCCGCATTTTGGCGCACCGGAACAGCGTCAGCATGGCGAGCCCCGGCATGGACTCCGGGCTCACCGTCCACTCCTCCAGCTTCGTTAGGCCGAGCTTCAGCTTGTGCAGCCTCGGGAATCCAGTCTCCACGAACGCCAGCCGATCGCCGTCATAGGCGTCGTACATCATCGTGAGCTCGGCCAGGTTCGGCAGCTCGGCCAGCATGTCCACGAACTTCTGCCCCACCTCGGTGTTCCACATCGACAGCCTGATCAGGTTCGGCCGGATGTACCGGACGTCCTCCGCGCCTCTGGGCCCCTCCGGCGCATCCATGGCGCCTATCAGCTTCAGGCTCTGCAGCCGGCGGAGGCTCGGGATACTGAACACGCTCGACGGCAGCGGGTCGCCCCGCAGCTCCAGGTGCTCCAGGAGGTCGAGGCTCTCCAGCGCGGCCTCGAGCGCATCGGCGTGCTTGGCGGTCAGCTCGCGGAGCTCCAGCGACCGGAGGTTGGCGGCCTTCCCCAGCGGGTTGTAGTCGCCGCCCCACCCGCGGGGATGCACGCCGTGGAGCGTCTGGAGGCTGTGCAGGTCGCCCAGGGCCCTGCTCGGCAGAGTGAACAGCGCGACGACGTGCCGCAGCGTGGGGATCCTCCAGAACGCGGCGGGCACCTCCAGGACGTGCCGGCCGCCGAGGATGAGCGACTGCAGGTTGACAAGGTTGCCTATGGTGCTCGGGAGCTTCTCCAGGTCGCCGCATTGGAGGCCCAGGTATCTGCTCATACCAAAACGCGTGACCAAACATTATAATCTAGCCTCTAATCTCATCTCTGCTACTCCTACTCCAGTGTTTCGGAATCGATCAGTACCTGATGTGGATCATGGAGCCGATCTCGTTTGGGAGCTTCTTGAGCTCTAGTCCATGAATGTCGATGACACGGAGGAACTTGGAAGCATGGAGGAACTCCAGGTCGGTGGTGTGGATGAAGTTGCTGGACGACCTGACTCGTCGACCCTCCACGAAGTCGCAGATGATGGAGCGCAGCTTGGGGAGCGCGTTGCTGAGCTGCACGTACCTGTCTGTGGTGGAGTTGAGGACGGCGAGGCGGCGCACGGTGGCCGGCGCGAGCACGTCAGTGCTGTCGTGGCTCTCGATGAAGCTGGCCTCCTGCGCCTCGTCCTGCGCGAAGGCGTGCAGGCGTTCGTGCACCACCACCGTCTGCACGGCGCCGAAGTCGTCCTTGTCCATCAGCTGCACCATGCAGCGGGAGATGAGCTCCTTGAGGTACCCCTGCCCGACCTCCTCCATGGTGCTCCCGCGGCGCGGGCGCACGAACCCCTCGGCCACCCACAGGCGCACCAGGCGCTGCGCGTCCACCGGGGTGCTCTCCCGCATCGCCGCCAGGTAGAGGAAGCACGACTTGAGGTGGTGCGGCAGGTCGTCGAAGGCCCGCGACATGATCCGGGGCCAGCTGTTGCTGCCGCCGCCCTTGTGCTGCTTCTCGCGCGCCGGCGGGGCCAGCTGCGCCATCACCTCGTCCCACTCCACCGGCAGCTCCTTGGACCGCAGGATCCCGGCGAGGACGACGATCGACAGTGGCAGGCCGCGCGTGATCCGGAACACGTCCTGGTAGTACCTCGACTTGTACCGGCCGGGGCAGTCGCCGCGGGCGCCGAACACCCGGCGCCGGAACACCTCGTACGTGCTCTCCGGACTCAGCCGGGTCAGCTCGATCGGGTCGTACGTGTGGCCAGCGTGGCCGAGGCCGACCACCTCCAGGCCTTCCGGGTCCGTGATCAGGAGCACCCTGCTGCCGTTGCCCTCGTCGGGGAGGGAGGCTCGCAGGCTGTTCCAGTCCGTGACGGACACGCTGCCGTCGACGACCACGAGGTACCGCCTCCCCGTCATGCTCTTGTGCAGCTGGTTGCTGATGTCCTTTCCCGTCCCGAAGGCTTTGTCGCCGTCGCAGGAGTCTTCCGCGGCCTGCTTGGACGCGGACGGGGCCCGCCGCAGCTGGTTGGTCATCTGCCGGTGGATGTCGCGGAGGACGTCGGCGGCGCGGCACTTGTGCGGGAGCACCGTCCACGTGCGGATCTCGAAGTGGTTGCGGACCTCGAGGCTCTGGTACACCTTCCGCGCGAGAGTCGTCTTCCCAATGCTGCTCTCGCCGGCGACGGCCACGAGCGCGCGCGCGGGGACGGAGTCGTCCAGGAGCTGCTCCTTGAGCATGTCGCTGTACTTGTCCAGCCCAACCGTGTCCTCCTCCAGATCGTCCCTGCACAGAAATAAATCCGGTCAAATTGATCGCTTCGCTAGCACAGCAGCTTGAAAATTCAGGCGAATCTTGGCCGGAGAATGAAACGAGAAGGACAGCAGCACCGCATGGACAGATTTGCAGGAGGAAATCTACTCAAATTGACCGCAGACACTGCTTCGTACCAGGCGGCGAGGGTGGTGGCAGAGGAGGCGGCGGCCCAGGCCGGTGCGGGCATGTGCTCGATGTTGTAGACGGCGCGGTTCTCGGAGATCTCATTGAGCCGATTCCTGATCTGGCGGATACGCCCCGAGAGGTCGTGGCGGAGCGCGACCTGTCCGGCGCACCGGCCGGGCCACCACCACCACCCACCGACGGCGCACCCGGAACCCAGCGCGGCCTTCCTCCGCCTCCGCCCGGCGCGGTGGAGGAAGTCGTCGAGCGCGTCCTCGGCCTCGAAGGCGACGTCGCGGGTCTGGCGCACCCAGACGGCGACGAACTCGTCGTCGCGGAGGCGGCGGCGGCGGTCGGCGTCGCGGATGAAGGTGTGGAGCCACTCGAGCTTGTCGCGGAGGAGGCGCACGTCGTCGCCCACCTCCAGCAGCACCGCCGCCTCCCACGCCACCAGCTCAGCCACCTTGGCCAGCACCGTCGTGATCGCCGTCTCCGCCATGCTGCTGCTGGTGCTATGTGCTCCACCCGCAGGCAGTAGTGGTGGTCAGTGCGCCGGTCCGGATCGACTTGGCGCGCCGCCGGATATGTATAATGTATGGCGAGGCGAAGCTCAGCAGTGGCAGTGGGCAGTGAGGCGCATCACTTGAGTTGGTGCCTTGGTGGCGACAAGTCAATGCGGTGGGCGGGGAGAAGACAACAAGCAGGTCGCGGTGGCCGTCTTCGTCGACACCAGGGCCCAGGCCACCAGCGAAGTGTGAACACACACTTTTGTATTGATGCTCGCACGTGCTTAAGCTAGAACGAACGGCGAATTCTGTGATTATTTATTCGCGGGTGGTTTTGCGCCGGCGGCCGGCTCCCGCCGCTGCAGTTCAGGCGGAAGGAAGCCGGAAGGAAGGGGACGTGGGTCTGGGAGGTTGTGAGATAGGTAGGACTATAGGAGTAGATATTTTGGCGATTGGCGCCACGGAGGCACGGCTTTATCGAACCACCTACAAATGATGCGTTCCTGCAGCGAGGTGACTGACAAGGACTTGAACAAATGAACCCAAAAATCAAAGACTAATCTCGTTTTCAATTTGGTTCTACCCTCCTGGCTTCGGACACAGATCCTGTGCAGTGGTTACTAAAGGATCTCAGTTTATCATTTGCTCTTTTGTGTTCACCATACACTCTCCCTCTTTTGTAAATGTAATCAGAGGACATTAATTCCCAGTTTAGAGCAAAATATATGCAATATATGTTATTACTGTTAACGGGCTATCATGTGTAAATTGCATTATTCTTGATCTCTAAATTTTGACTCAAGAAGAACCGACTCATAGCAGAGAGTGAATAGAAATGATACAAAAAAAGAGGGAAAATGAGAGCTCTCATCCAAGCCGTTCCTTCACGGGTGCATGGCTCAAGAAGAACCGACTTATAGCAGAGAGTAAATAGAAATGATAAAAAAAAAAGGAAAATGAGAGCTCTCATCCAAGCCGTTCCTTCACGTGTGGATGGCTCAGGTGCAGCCACTGATTATTTTTTAGTAGTAGTAACCAATGCATAGGATCTGTGTCCCTGGCTTCTTCCTTGTTTTTTTGATACAGAATCTGAACTAAAAGATTCTTTGTAGGATCATCCAAATTCGAAAAGCCTAGTCGAGATTTGGGTAACGTTTGGATGGCCTAGCGATTATAGGAATGCGTATTGTATTAGGATTCTAGATAATAAAAATTCCCTGCTGTTTATACCACAGATTTTAGAGAGATATCAGCTCTTTTCTTTTCATTTTTTTTGATAGAGGTAAACCCAATTTTTATAGACAGCTATCAGCGGCACATTACAAAGAAAGGAACCGGATGCCAAACGACTAAATGGAAACAAGCTAAAGTCTCAAGACCACACAAGAGCTGACTCAAACTACAAAAACTAACACATTGTGGGCGAAAGACAAAACAGACATCCCTTAGAGAACTCCTTCAACTTCAAGGTCTTTAGTTTTCTTCCAAAAAAAACAACAGCCAGGTTTTCATTCTTCGGATTTTATCATCCATATATCCGACATCTTGTTCTTTCAATAGGATTCGCCATTTCTGCATAAACATAAAGATTTTGTGGAAAACTTCATTACAACTCCTTGGAAATTTCTTCTCAATCCCCGTCTTATTTCTAACATTCCACAAACCCAAATGATTATAACAAACATGAACTAAATTCGTATCAATCCACATATATTGAAGTGGGTTGGAGTAGATCTTAAACGAAATTTCACCCCAACACATGTGGATTGAGGTGAACTCGAAAAAAAAAACATCCAAACAAAGGCCTTATTGTGACTTCCACCCCCACACCAGCCTTCACTGACCACTTCACCCCTCCCCATTGTTTTATGAGGTAATTCCTTGTGAGTCATTAAAAAAGATCGTAATTTTCTGTGAGCCACTGAAAAAGTTCGACGGACTTCAGCACTACTGCTCCATTTTTTTTTTGCCCTCCATGCCACTGCCGTCAGATTGGGCTCTAACGGTGTCAAACTGCAGGTGTGAAAAAACAAAAATACCTTTAGATTTAAATATGCCATTAATTTTTTTGAGTATCTTAACGACATCAAATGGAAAAACTCAAAACTAGAAAGTTGTAGATCTCATCGACATTTACAATTTTCATATAAAAATTATCTTCATTTAATACCGCAAAAAAAGATATGATCTTTCTAAGGTATATTAATCATATCATTTTTTTAATTAAATAAAGATAATTTTTATATGAAAATTGTAGATTTCGACGAGATCTACAACTTTCTAGTTTTGAGTTTTCCCATTTGAAGTCATTAAGATGCTCAAAAAACTAATGGCATATTTAGACTTAAAGGTATTTTTTACTTTTCACACCTGCAGTTTGACATCGTTAGAGCCCCATCTGACAGCAGTGGCATGGAGGGCAAAAAAAAATTAGAGTAGTGACGCTGAAGTCCACCGAACTTTTTCAGTGGTTCATAAGGAATTACGATCTTTTATAATGGCTCACAAAAATCCCTTCCTCGAGCATGCAAGCATGTGCTGCTGCCTACCCCCTATGAGTAGGGAGGTAAGGCTTGCAGGAATACACCGCTGCAGGTCCCCTCTAGTTCCTCCTCCTATGTGATTTTAGATAAAAAGCAGATGAAGTAAGATGTGCTCTAAGGACATTGGCATGTGCAATAATGTTTAATTCTTGATTTTATTGAGGTATTTGGGTTGGGCACGATTAACTACTACTTCCTCCATCCTAAAGTATAAGACGTTTTGGCATTTCTAGATTTGTAGCTTTTATTATATATGTAGATATAATATATATCTATATATATATAGTAAAAGTTACGCTAGAAATCAAAGCGTCGTATAATTTGAACGAACGATTATATTCGCTGCCAGCTGCTGGCTTGCTGCGCCGCATAGGAGGAGGGCCGCGCTTTGGGCCGCGCGTGAGGGACAATGGCTGGGCCGTGCGTCGTGCGGATCATTTTATGGGCTGGGCCGTGAACGTTGCGTGCGTGATATCCGTTCCAGAGCGTTGACAAAACCTTTCACTGTCATTCCGCTGGCCGATCAGGGGTCATCTTCAAGAAACACGAGTCGTCCTCTCAAAACACATGGAACAATAATCGATTTTACCGCCGCTGTTACTTATCCGTCCAAGAGCGATACAGGCCAGATCCGTATGGACCTCGTATCCGCCGCCGCTTATCTTAGATTCGGGATCCAAAACAAGAACAAGAGCGAGCAGAGCAGGGGAGAACGTGGCGACAAATCACCCGCGGCTTCATATCCCGCAACCACCAGCAGCTGCGAGCCCGCGAGAGGGCAGGTAGCAGTGAACCCCACGCCACAGCAACCCACCTCGGATGGCCGGTGACCGTGACGCATCCGACGCGACGGCGGCGGCCGAGGCGGAGCTCCGCGCGGGGTTCGAGACCCTGGCCGTGACGCGGCCGGACCCTTCGGCGGGGGTATACGAGGTCCGCCTCAACCGCCCGGCGCAGCGCAACGCGCTGAGCCCAGCCGCCTTCGCTGAGATCCCGCGCGCCATGTCGCTCCTGGACCGGATCCCCACCGCGCGCGCCGTGGTGCTGTCCGCCGCGGGCCCGCACTTCTGCGCGGGCATCGAGCTGGGGGGCCCCGGGGACCCGCTGGCCGCGGGCGCCGGCGACCCCGTGGCCGCCGCGGAGGCGCTCCGCCGCGCTGTCCTGGACATGCAGGGGGCGCTCACGGCCATCGAGCGGTGCCGGAAGCCCGTCGTCGCGGCGGTGCACGGCGCCTGCGTCGGCGGCGGCGTCGACGTCGTCGCGGCCTGCGACATCAGGTGCTGCTCCAGGGACGCCACGTTCGTGCTCAAGGAGGTGGACATGGCCATCGTCGCCGACCTCGGCGCGCTGCAGCGCCTCCCGCGGATCGTCGGCTATGGCAACGCTGCTGACCTCGCGCTCACCGGACGCAAGATCACCGCCATGGAGGCCAAGGAGATGGGCCTGGTTACCAGGGTCTTCGATTCCAAGAAAGAATTGGATGCCGGCGTCGCAAAGATCGCCAAAGGTATTAACATCTGCTAGTATCTATCTTCTCCTTCTTACATACAGTACAATTGTTCATGCTTCGCTGCCTTGATTAACATGAGATGTACTAAGCTTACTGCAATAGAGCTGAAAGCAACAAACAATACTTATACTCTAGTGAGCACCAATGACCGTCACAGCCCTTTTGACAACCCTTGTACCACCAATATATCAAGCTCAAGACAACTGTTAACTAGCTTGTAGGAGTATAACGGTTCTTCCACCATGTGAGCATTATGCTTATGCTCCTGGAATTCATATAGATCCACCATGTGGCTTAGGCACCTAGCGGTGGTAGTCTTGTGGGTTTTCAAAGATCGTGCCCATAGATTACACACTCATTCCCCTTCTATGATGAGAATGCGTAGTGTTGTACCTATTGTTGGTTTTGTGTTAGTCTGTTCAATTGTGCATGAGTGCTCTTTTACTTCATATGCTAGGTTAAACTGCAAATTATTTTGAGCTCACTCCTGCACGAACATAATCTGTCATATTCTTGACTAGTTTTGGACTGAACTTGGGTGATAATTTCAGAAATAGCTGAGAAGTCGGCATGGGCGGTGATGGGAACCAAGGCGGTTTTGCTAAGAAGCAGGGATGTGACTGTAGAACAAGGCCTGGAGCATGTAGCCACATGGAATGCGGGTATGATGAGATCGAATGATCTGAAGGAGGCCATCAGAGCCTTCCTGGAGAAGCGTAAGCCTGTGTTCTCCAAGCTGTAATGATCAGATTCAGATACCATACCTCTACTTATCTGAAAATTAATAAAAGGAATAAAGTGTGTTAGGAGTAGACAAGAATACCATCTGTGGTAGCATTTGGCGAAACATCCTTTCTTGTCAGGGAAAATGCATGTTCTCGGTGGAGTTGTGAAGACATTTTTCCATGTCAATTGAGCTTACCAAAGTTGTTTCGGTCGATATGTCAAACGAGCCCAGGGTGTTATTGTTTTGTTACCTGTTCCAGTCTGTACGCAGACTCATTTCTTCTGCACCATATACACGGTAGTGAATGTCCCAGTTGCCCAAACCCCCAGACAATTGTCTCACCGCTACAAGATGAAAACCTTTACTTTACTGTTGAAAATGAATACTAGAGCAATATGCCCCAGAAGTGTAGCACCCTACTCTTCATCATGAACTCTACATGTCAAGGAACTTTAGAGCAGGAACAATACTATAGCATATTAACTCGAGATAACTTAGCATTCAAAAAAAAAACTCTTAGCGATAAATTAACATTTCCAAAGAAACAAAGAAATGAAATTAATCTTAACATGGGCACTCAGATCAAGCGATGTTCATTTACTGCAATGCAAAGGTTCGACATTGTTCACAACCATTACCATCCAAATCCAAGCAACTGAAACCTATTTTAGGCTTACTGCTCCGATTATATACAGACAAAACCTGACAGTGCCAAACTGGAGACGTCACAAACCAACTGCTTCAGACAATAGACATGAAAGACATCTCAAATTAAGAGAAAGAAGAAAAGAAAGTCCAGAAACAACCGCCATACAGGTCATGAGTCTAATAACATTAGTGACCTCAAATCTCAAATAGAACAACAAATTAGCAACGAACTGGCACTAACAACCCTGAGCATCTCACTACAGCCGCTTACATGGTCAATGCCATCATCGACCTGCTTCAACTCCCCAGCTTGAACGCCCAGGGTTCATCGCTGAGGAGCCTTGCTCTTCCAAGCCTCCTCCAACTGCAAGGGCGTCACGGCTGAGATCTGGAGATGCGCTACAAAACCTGCCATCCTTGTCCTCCAACAAGTTGCTCAGACCTGCTCCTAAATCACCAATCTCAGCTGCCATCCTAGGCTCATCCCAAGCCACTGGTTTTCTACCCATCTCAATGTTGCCAACAGCTCTCCCCATGTTTGGACTCATGAAACCATTTGTTGGACGAGGCCTCAGACCATGCTCCTGTTGGACCCTACCACAGAAGTTGTTCTTGGAAGGAGGGATCGTTGTAAAGAAGATCTCTTTGATGTTTTCTATGACTCCCCTGTTGTATGGGTTGGCTCGTTGATCATAGCGATACCTGAAGTTCTCATATGTTGTCTACAAAGCAGAAGTAGGGCAACTGATTAGCAATTGGCACAACATACTTCATCAGGCAAGGATATAAATACATCCTTCTTGGAATCAGTTTTTACCTGATTTGTGCTCATGAGATACAAATGGAACACAGAGAGGCCACCAACAAACCAGACTGCAATGAATGTGTAGATGATTAAAGCAATAGATGCAGGGGTCTTTGCCATTGCCTTCCAAATTGTTATCTGCTCTTCATTTCTGATCTTAACAATGAGCACCCAGCAGAACCCAAAGACATACAGGCAGAGCAGAGTTGTTGAGAATACAAACATATAGAAGAACCTGTAATTCCTCTGCACAAACATAAGAGATATTCTAAGGTGTTTGAAGTCTTTTACAATCCATCCAATTTAAGCAGGAATCTAGGGATTCTAAAAGGAAAAGATGCTCTACATTTTAGTAATGTGGGGGGGAACAAGCAAATACAATCGATGCGTTAAATGAAGAGACAACCGGGGCTGCAAGATTTAACATAAAGTGTTGGCAAAAGATTGTATATGAACAGCAAGACAGGCTTTCTGAGTCACAAGTGTTTAGTTAATAAACTTACAAGTCCAATGCATTGTCCAACCCATGGGCAGTGATGATCAAAACGCTCCACACAGTTGTTGCAGATAGAGCAATGAGAGCAACGAGGAGGCCTGTACAACATGCAAGTGTCACAGTATTTTGTCTTCACAGTGATCCCGTTAACAACAACATCCTTCACTCGGGGCAAACGCACGGGTGGAGTCTGGTTAGCCCCAACCTCTGCATTGCCATCAAAACCTTCAGGTTCTGGAGGATGTGCATTGCGAGGTATGATCCCCGGATCTCTCCCAGAAGTTAGAAGCAGAAGACTCAGATCCTGAAAGGTGGCATGATGCTTAAACAAGTTAGAAGATATGCTCATTCTATATCTTCTTCTCTTTACCAGCATGACCATGACAAAATATAAATTTGTGTATGTACCAAATTAAAAGATAGGCGTAGGAGCACCAGCAAAATATGCTTGGTGCTAGTGGACAGCAAGTTAAAAAGGTACCACAACAGGACAAATAATCCCTTTTCTAGATAAAATCAGGAATCACTTCAATTAACACATGATGCTTAATAAAGGCAGAATATTACATTTCGATGCCATTACGAGCAATTAAATTTGACAGTTCACAGGGTGAGCCGCTTGCACAATTAGCATATAATGAATAATAAAATAATTAATGCAGAAGCGAAAGGAATAATCCCCTTTGATGACATCCAGAACTAAGTTACATTGTATAATTAGGGATCACTTTGCCATTTAACATATGACACATGATAAAAGCAGAATATCACAGTCCCATACGGTTAGGAGCAATTAAATAACAGTTCTTACGCAGTGTATCGTCTAGGGAGTCAATTGCCCAGTTGGAATGCAATGTATTGGAAAGGCAAATGTGAAACTGCAAATTTCCAGTTTCTAATCATATATTTTGATTGTAATAAAACTGAACCAAACGATTATGCCAGACACAACCAGTATAGATTCAGAATACAAGCATAGTTTGAAAAAACTGAAGCTGTCAGCTTTGTTAAAGACTCGTACTGTTCCAATAACTGCATATGTATTAAGCAGCAGTACCTGTACCGCACAGCTCAGGAAATAAATGAGTGTGGTGATTTGAAAAAGGCTAAGAACCATACTCACATATGCTGTGAATAGAACTGCTGCAATCATAACCGGCAATCCCAGACCATAAGAGAACGTATCCATCAATTCCTTCGCAACGAATGCACAGAAGATTGATGCTGGCGCGACAATAAGGAACATGGTGACAAACAAGGATCTTGCATCAGGACCAAATATGAATTTCCCCTTCAGTAAAAACACCTGCAAAACATGCAAACTACCGTCAAACACACTTTCTAGTTCTATCACGACAGAAACAGCTTGAAAATCTCGTAGGAAACATTTCTTCTCAAGCTAGGTGGGTACCATTGTCAACTTTGTCTATGCACAACTCACAAAAGAAAGCAGACGGTGAAATTATTCTGAGATGTAATAGACACTCAGTCGAAGTATAATTAATGCACTAGTCCGGTCCTAAAACTCAGGTTTCTTGTCCTGACCAAGACCAGAGGCACTTAACCCGTCCAGCCGTCCTAGAACCTACATTCCCAGAATCCCAGTACAAAATCATAAAATAAATGGGGGAAAATCGAGTAATCAATTATTTTTGGAGCCAACAATGACCAAACGAATTTGCCAAGCTCAACAAGGGAATCCCAACATCTGCCTACGACACCGCAGACACGAGTCAATCTAGTGCCGATCCCTAGAAAGAAAGGAACAGTTAATTTGAGTCGCGACCTCAAGGCCGCACAGATCCACACCACGCCCGCAACAAAGGAACTAGGGGAGGAAGAAAGGCGCAGAGGGGAAGAGAGAGGAGAAGGGCATTCCGCTCACATTGTTCCCCTTCCAGGCCTTGTACACCAGCGGCGCCTCCCCGCCAGCGCCGGCGCCGGTGCCGACGCCAGCGCTGGCGCTCGCTCCGTTCATCGCCGCCGCCCGCTCAGCCGCGAATAGACGACCAGATCACGATCCAGATCACGACATAGCCGGCGGCACAGCAACCTCCCGGGATCGCCGCGCCGCAGGTGGTGTGAGCTCGCAATGCCGTCCCCCCACCCCAACCCCACCGCTGCGCCGCCGCTGATGTCGCGGGAGGGAGAGAAGCGAGATGAGACCAAATGGAGGGCCTCTCCTGGGGACATGTAGTAATATCTCGTGGTGATCCCTTCTTCCCTAGGTTTTTGCATAAAAGCCCTCCTATTTCTCAACATTTCTGCTCCCCGCGCGGCAGCGAACAGCAAAGCCCCGCCATTTGCGCCGTGCACAGTGTAGGTAGCTTCCTCTCTTTTCTGAATGAATTTTCAATTCTGTTAATATAAAAATTTGAAAAGATTTTTATGTCCACTTTCTGCGTCTGCAGAAAGTTTGTTTGATTGGGGTTAGTGGAGCCGAAGGGCTACTTCTCCACCAAATCCTTGCTGGCAGGAGAGTTTGGGGGCAAGTGGGTGAACCGGCTCCGTTCAGCTACCATTATAAATCGATTTATAAGTTGATTTATTAGTTATGGTATAGTATTTTTCTCTCTTAATAAATCTAGTCGTATAAATCAGCACAAACGGTTTATAGACAAGCCGAACAGAGCCTATGGGAGGGTTTTGTTGGTGGGAGGGTTTTGTTGGATTCCCAAATTCTAACTTGAGATCTATGACAGTTAGTTTTACTTACAAACAAACTGCAGTGTGCTAACTTAAGAAGGTGGTGTTTGGTTAAGCGGTTCAGCTGCAGCTGTAATGGTTTAGTTGTTGTTATTATGGCACAACGAAAGTCATTTAGTCTGTTCGTCGGTTGGTTTCTGGACTGATAAATCTGACTAGTGCTAGTTTATTATGAAAGAAAAATACTATGCTATAATTGACGAGTCCTGGCTGAAACCAACGATCGAACAATCTGATTGCAAGGTCAAAAGAGAAACCGGTGCCCTTTCTTCTGCACGTGCCACAACTGAACAACTTTTGAAGTGGAATCAGTTGGCTTTGGCCCGCACAATAATGATGGCTGGAGTTCTAAAGGCCGGGATTCACGCCAAAAATAAGGAGATCATGCCAGTCTCAATGAAAGGTTTTATGTCTCTGTTTTCAAGACGTGAAACTGGATATGAAACAACTTCTCTTCATGCATAGTTTCAGTTCACTGTTTCAATAGCTAGTTGCAGCATTTTAATTCTCCTTCTTCTGTATTGTGATCAAATGTGCCACGTGAACTATGTTAACCAGATGATATTATTTGTAAATCGATCAGCAATTCTTATTGAAATCGATCAGCAAGCTACTGCTGCTAATTTTAGTATTATACATGACTGTGGCACAATTGAATAGCAACGATTAAATAGCTTCAGACTTTCAGATCATGTCAACGGAAAGTGCGGCCATGGAACCACAGGACGACCGGAGTGGCCCTTCCGTGCCTCATCGAGGCCGAGCTGAAGTTGCCGGATGTTGTGCTGCTGGCCTGTACCTCGGTCGTCGTCAACCTCCGACCTTGCCGCGTCTCCCTTTGAGCAGGCTGTATCCCTCCCCACCTGCGTGCGATCTCGTTGAGTGGGATCCTTATGACGACGAAGGTCGGAAAGACACAGATGATGCGATGCTCTCTGGCATGTGGATCCTCATGCTCCCCACAACCAAGATCCGACGAAGACAATGAGGCTACAGTACATGCCCATGGAGGCATGGATCCAGACGAACCTGTTTGCCGCGTCCGCCTGCCACCGCGAGCCGCGTCCGCTGCCGCCACGCGCTGTGTCCGCCTGCCGCCGCAGCCCGCGCCGCCGACGTGGCCTGCTGGCCGGAGTTGGTGTGGAGCTGGGGAGCCGCTGGTCGCCTGTCGCACCAGATGCCTGCCGCACCAGATCGGCGATGAAACGATCCAGGCTCTCAGTGCGCGTTTCACCCTTTTTCCAAGACCTTGGAAACGCTGTGCATACGTTCTGTGGGGATGAGACGATTATCTCTCTCTCTCTCTCTCTCCTCTTTTAATGCCCATTTAATGTCATGTCATCAAATTAGCTGATATATTGCCTCATTTAATGTCCATAAAACTATCATTGAGATTATATTGCCTTGTAAGATCTTCATTCTTCCTCCGTGCTACTGTGAGCTTGGATTCCAAAAATATATATACAGGACCTATTTCAAACGTAGGAATTTGGAATATCACGAGAATCAGTTTATTTTTATATACACAGAAAACATAGAAAACGGAAAAGAAATCCTGCATTTCAAAGGTGCTACAGTGTTCATTTGTGATCACCATATTTGGAAGCGAGATGGAAGAGAGCACCCATTGAGCCATGAAGTCATCAATGAGTTGGCAAAAACAGGATATGTCAATTAACAATTGTGCAAGAAATAATTAATAACCAAAAAAAAGAAGCAAGAAAGCGATTGTCAAGCACAACAAGCCAGGTGTTAAATGTAAAAACTAGGCGTAAACGAAGTGAGAAAGGATGAAAACGGTCGAAAAGAGGCCTTAACCACTTTTAATTTTTAAAATTATATGAAATCAAAATCAGGAAGGTTCAGCAGAGAAACAATATCAAATTTCGGAAATGAAGCCTCGGCCAGAAAAAAATGTTGATACGATTAGGAACCGGAACTTTTTTGAGGGGCACCAACTTCAAATTATATAGCACCAACTTCAAAATATATATAGTATTTTCAATGGGCAATGGCCGGCACTTCTATGAGAGCATCTCTAGGCCTTGTTTATATTGGGGTTAAAAATCAGTATTTGACATTGTAGCATTTTTGTTTGTATTTGATAATTATTATCCAATCATGGCCTAACTAGGCTCAAAAGATTCATCTCGTAATTTACAATCAAACTGTGTAATTAGTTATTTTTATTATCTACATTTAATACTCCATGTATGTGTCTAAAAATTTGATGTGATAGAGAAAGAGTAAAAAAACTTGCAATCTAAATAAGGCACAGTATATGCTGGAATCGAACCGAGGCAAGGAAAAATCGAACCGAGGCAAGGAACACTGCAGCATGCGGACGTTCGTTGTCGAACTGAAATCGCATCCTGCAGACGGTTCGGACCGATGGGCATTAAACAAATCTTCCGTACGCCAGCAGCTCCCTGCGCTTGCCAACAGCCGCACTGATTGGATAAAAAAACAATTCTTTAGTTCTATCTAGGTCCCGCAAAGCGATGCACACACTGGAGAGAGCGAACGCTGCTCTGGTTCGTCCTCATTGAATCGCACGGTTTACCCGTTACCCGGTGCAGTTTGACTATTTGAGTCTTACTGTTTGCACATGACAAAATCCTAGCTCGTTCAAAACTAGCCAACACTTCTATCACCTCCGAGTAACAACTTATTCGAAGAGCCTTATTCCCATCTTTAGGGTGATTGGAGAGCAACTCTCTACGAGGTGCCAACATGTAAAGGTTTGTTTGGCACAGTTTTAATTCGAATATCCATGTTGGGCCTATATTTTGTAAACTAAATTAGAATGGTTTAAATATTTATATTTTATCAAAACTATAAACAAAATGATTCATATAAATTCTTTTTGGCATACCTTCAACTCGGATTTAAGATTTGCGAGAGCTACAAATACATAGCTAAGAAATCCATATATATTTTCCGGAGTTGGAGCTCTGCAAAACAAAACTGGGAGGGGTGAGCAAGTCTAGCATGGCTTGGCCCAGTAGCAACCCATACTTGCATTAGGGCATGTTTAACGCTTTTGTTTTATGGCCTAAACAAAAAGGGCCTAGGAAGCCCATAATGGCTATTTATGTTTATTTATATATATATAGGGAAATGATGAGCTGGACCAGCTTGTGTGACCCCAATAGTCATATTTGGCTCCAAACAACTCAATTTTTCTCGTTGGCATGGCTAGCAATTTGCTCAAACCCTAGTTTTCTGTAGAGGATGGGGTGGTTTTAGGGAGAGAATAGGAGGCTAAGAAGAAAGTTGTCGGCGAGAAGAAGGCACCGGAGCTCTTAAACCCAAACTCGAGATAGGAAAGAAGATCTGCTGGAGATGTTTTGTTTATATCTAGAGACAATTGTGATATTGTTCTCGTTTTTAACTCTAACTACATGTTTGTCCCTATTTTTTTCAAAAAAAATACAGATTTGTCTTTGTTTTCTGAACGTTAGTCTCATGTTTGCCCCTTCTCGTGGAAGGTGTGCTCTAGTGATAAATAAGAGTATATCCAAGAGTCTCCAAAACCCACTCTGAATCTAGTATTTTTGGCACTCCTAAAAAAAAAAACTGCTCCCCAAAAATTTTGTCTTCCAATCTTTCTACACCTAGGGTCTGTTTGATACCATGGCTCGGTGGCTCGGCTGCCCTCTCCAGATGCAACTCCCGTGTTTGATGTCGTTCGTCCACTCGCGAGCCTGGCCAATCCGATGCAAAAACTCCTCTCTCTCCTGGCTCCGGGGAAACGAAACTCCCCTCCGTTTCTTCGTGGCCTGGCTCACAGCAGCGCTCACGCGAGGATGGAATCACCTCCCGAGCATGTCCGACTGCTCACCTCGAGTGGCTGCGGCTGGGTCGCCGTTCGCCCTCGTCGCCAATGCCAAGGCCGTCGCCGCTGCAGCCAAGCTGGTCGGAGATGGCATGGAGAAGGGACTCATCGGAGAGGAGGAAGGGAACCCAAGCTGCTTGGGGTCCTCAAGGGGGCGGTGCTGCAGATCCCGACGAGTTGTAGCGCAGCGTGGTGTCCTCGCCTGGGAAGTCGCGGCGGCGACGAAGGACGCGACAGGGCCTCCCGGGCGGCATCCGCCGCTGGCCTCACGCGCGTGGTGTCCGCCGCTGTGCCGAGCTGCCATCGGAGCTTGTGCTGGCCACCATGGTGGCGGAGGTGATGGACGGGAGTACGCCAGACTGACAGACGGGATGGACGTACACGTACCGTATGGGTGTGCAACGCCTCTGGCCATGGCCTCGCTGGCATTGCTC